ACACTGGGCACTGAGACAGGGTGACGTTTAATAGGGCTATTCAGGGCACAGCGCCAGGCCCAGGAGGGGGTGTCCCGAGACGGGGCAGAGGGCGTGAGGGGGCTGGTCACGGGCTAAGGGGGCTGGGGATGCTCAGCGGTCCCTGTGCAGTGACTGACAGAGGCAGAGGGAACGAGGACTCCGAGTGGGGAGACAGCGGGGGGTGGGCGCTCAGCTCTTCCAGTCTTGGCAGATGTGGAGGCCCCACTCCCAGGACAGGTGGTCTGCCCTGTCGTCATCCGTGAAGAAGGATGTGACCATGTAGGCGCCCCTGGCCAGGGCGCCCCGTGGCGCCTCCTCCGCCGGAGTTACAAACTCATACTCCTGGGCTCTTGGGCCGTAACTGCCCACCATGTGCACAGCCTTGTCCACTGGGGGAAGAGGGGAGCATCAGAGGCTGCCCTCTGCCCCCCGGCCCCCGCCCCCAGCCTCCAGGCCCTCCGCACGGCCTCACCTCGCAGGCCCCTGCGGTAGGTGTGGTGCAGACACTTGAGGCCACTGACAATCTCCTTATTGACCTGAGGGACAAAGAGCGTTACGTGGTCCCTCTGGGGAGCTGGTCCTCTGGGCGGCTGGCATCGCCCAGGACGGCTGCCCTCACCTTAAAGGTGATCTTCACTCTGTAATCAACCCCCTCCTTCAGGACGAACACCCGGTTCTTCAGTGCAGCCAGCTCCCCTGTTAGCGAGAGCGCAGTGAAGGATCAGGCTCCTCCGATGGCTGAGGCCCTGCCCCAGGGGCCCCGAGGGGGCGGTGTCTGTGAGGTCCACGTGACGGGTCTGAGGACGAGGGTCTGGGCACAGGGTTCTAAGCCGTCTCTGCCCCGAAGCTCAGTCCCTGGTTTGCGGCAGGAGCTTACCTGTGAGGTCCATGGTCATGGGCGCGGGAGCCTGCTCAGACATCAGAGTCAGCCTGGTCACCTGCACGTTGGGCAGGCTTGGGTCTGGGGAGAAATGGGAAGTCTGCTGGATGCACCCCCGATCCCCACCCCGCCCCGCTCACACCCATGGCCCAGGCATACCCACGGCCGGCAGGGGGGGGCCCAGGAGCACCCGCTTGTACTTGGCCAGGCTCTCATCGTCCGGGTCCAGCTGCTGGATCTCCAGGAGGCTCTTCCTCCCTGGAGCCCGGTACCCGGGCACAGCCTCGTCCAGCACCTCCTCGGGCGGCAGCTGCGCCCCTTCCTTTTCTGTCAGAAGGACTGGGGTCGGGGAGGTGAGTGAGGAACTGCTGCCAGCAGCTGCCCTGGCATTCAACGGGAGCCCCATCTGACCAGGTGGACTGCCGGGCCCAAAGAAGCAAGAGGAAGCCGGTAGGGGCTCAGGAGGGAAGGTGTGAGCTCAGAGAGGGAGGTGCATGGGGGTCAGGCAGGGGGTGGGCTCTGGGGGTGGACAAAGGCTCACAAGAGCCAAGTAACGTTCCCGGAGGCATCCACTGCCTTCTCCTGGCCCAGCCACTCACCTAGGGATTCTGAGGCCAAAGGTGGGGGCAATGAGACCCCAAATGGGGGCCAGCTCCAAGGACCAGGGGCCCCGCCATGGAGGGGTGACCTCCAAGGTCTTTCCTGGAGCAAAGGCTCTGCCCTCAGTCCCCTGAGTGCCCCAGTGCTCCAGGCCTCTGCCCACATTCCCACGATGGTCTCAGAGCCTCTGCCCGCCCCTATAACCTGCTCAGCCGGGGACGGGGTCTCTGAGGGCCTCCCACAGTCCTGAGAGTTCCTTCCACATGTTCCTGGGGGGCGGGGCCCTCTCTAAACCCTGGAGCTTGTGCTGTGCGCCCCTCCCAGGTCTCTCAGCACCCCTCCTCACCTGGCTGCTCAGGGTCTCGAAGCCCTTCCTCCCAGTGTCTTGGGACAGGGCTTGTCTGAGTCCCTGCTCACTGCGCCCTGTCTCCTCAGGGATCGCCGCGCACCCAGCCCCACCCAAAGGAGTAGGCTCCGGGAGCAGGTGTCAGGGGGAGGGGGCCCCTCTGTCACCCAGGCTGCACCAGCAGACCCGCCCACTCTTGGCTCCGGCCCCGAGTGATCAGCCGGAAGGAGGCCCCCCACCCACCCGGCCGGAGCGCTGCCCGGAGGGTCCCCACGCGGCCCCCAAAGTTTCCGCCGGGGAGGGCCGGTCCCCACCCGGACCCCCGGCCCCGCCGGAGCCCCCGCCACGTGGCCGCCCGCCCGCCCGCCCGCCCGCCGGCCGCTCACCTGGGGCGCACAGCGCCCGCCGGAGCCGCTCCCACAGCTGCGCCCCCAGCTCGCACGCGTCCAGGCCCAGCATGGTGGCCGCGGCCCGGGCCCAGCAGCCGGAGGAGCCGCGCCCGGCCTGGCGCTCAGCCCCGGCGCGACTGCGGTGAGCTCATCCCGGCCGGCAGCGCCCCCCGCCCGCGCCGCGCCCGCGCCGCGCGCCCCCTCCGCTCCCCCTCCCGGACCCCGCGCCGCGCCTCCCCCTCCCGGACCCCGCGCCGCGCGCCCCCTCCGCTCCCCCTCCCGGACCCCGCGCCGCGCCTCCCCCTCCCGGACCCCGCGCCGCGCGCCCCCTCCGCTCCCCCTCCCGGACCCCGCGCCGCCCGCACAGACGCGCGTGTCGCCCGCACGGCGCGGCACCGGGTCGCCCTGCCTCCGACCCGCGGACACCGCCCTGGCACGGTCGGGCGGCCCCCCGCCTGCGCCCCGCGCTGGCCCTGGGCTCCTGACTCCCCGCGCCCGCGGGTGGGGCTCTCCGGGGAAGCCCTCAGGGCGGGGCCGGGCGGGGCTGGGCGCCCGGTGGAGCAGGTGCGCCCCTCCCGGTGTCCCCCGGCTCCCATTGCCAGGCTGCAGTGCAGGCCGCACCTGGGGCCCGGCAGCCGCACCCCCACCCCCCAATCCTCCGAGCTTCTGTCCAGGCAGAGGGGACCCAGAACCGCCTGGCCTGGGGCTGGGGAAGCTGTGTGTCTGCACAGCCTCCCTGCCCTGCACCCCGAGGTTCCAGTCAGCAGCACAGAGCACACACGCCCGGGGCTGGGGTCCCCACCCGCACAGCCATTTCTCGGTGTTTATTCACTGGCCTGGGAGGGTGGTGGGGTTGGGTTGGGGTCTCTACGCTCTGGTGACCCAGAAGGTTCTGAGGACCCCTCCTTGTCGGTGGGGAGAAGAGGACACTGATCCCAAACAGAGCCGGGTGTGGGGTGTTGAGAGGCAGGGCAGAGAAGGGGCTTCTGGTCTTGGCACCATAGCAAACCCCGGGGGAGTCACGGGAGCCAGGCCCTTGGGGCCATGGGTAAGCGGGACTTCAGGTGGGGCCGGCCGCTGGACCAGAGGCCTAGGTCTGAGTGGAGCAGCCTGAGTCCCCTTCTCCCTGGGCCCCTCTGCCCACCCCTGTTTCTGAGGACGCCCAGGGATTGGGCCCCGTCTTGCCCAAAGACGCCCTTTTGTGAACAGGAGGCCGTCAGGCCCTGGAGGTTAGGGGGCACTTGGACTTGGGAGGGACTGTTCCCCTCTAAGCCCCCCTGCCCCTGCCCCCCGTCTTTCCAAGCAGGATTCCCCTCTCTCTCCCCCTGCCCCCCTGCTGGGGCCCAGAAGGCCCTGGGCCCCATTTCTGCTGCCTCTTCTGTGGGGTAGGCGGGTCAGTCCCGGAGCTACTTGTCCCCGGGTGAGGGACAGCTCTGGCCTCCGTGGCCTTCTCATGAGATGTCCACTCACCCGGAGAGGACAGCGGCCTGGGCCCGCCTGACCTCACTGTGTGGGTGGGGCTGGGTGGGAGGTCACGGATCTGAGGCAGGACGGTGACCTGGCTGGGGAGGAGCTCCCTGCAGTCCGCAGACCCCAGCTCCTGCCCGCCGTCCTCACCAGCAGGGGACATGGACTCAGAGCACATGTGAAGGCTGCTGGCCAGAGGCTAACCCCGTCCTCCTGGCCCCCAAGCCCCTGAGGGGAGATGGCAGGAGGGGCCTCTTGTTTCCAAAGAGCAGAAATGGACCTGTTTGTAGCCCTTAAGATGGCCCCAGCAGCCAATTTGGCTCAGTGGATAGAGCATCGGCCTGCGGACTGAAGGGTCCCAGGTTCGATTCCAGTCAAGGGCATGTACCTTGGTTGCAGGCACATCCCTGGTAGGGGCTGTGCAGGAGGCAGCTGATCGATGTTTCTCTCTCATCAATGTTTCTAACTCTCTATCCCTCTCCCTTCCTGTCTGTGAAAAATCAATAAAATATATATTTTTTTAAATGGCCCCAACAAAGGAGGTCTGGGGTGGGGACGGCCAAGAAGTTGGAGGAAGGAAAGGGCTGGGACTGGCGTGTGTGTGTGTGTGTGTGTGTGTGTGTGTGTGTGATCCTTCCCAATAGGGATCTCTGCCAGGTCCCTAACTGGCCCCACCCAGGTCCTGTGCAGCTGATGGAAAGTGAGCCACCTTCCCTCAATCTCAAAGGACCCCTACCCAGCACCCTATGCAGCCACAAAATGCCATAGGTGCTGGTGGCATCCACACCATGACCCCCAGGGTATCGCACAATCGCAAGCACACCTCCTAGGGCAGTCAGACCCCTTGTCTGACCCCACAGCGCCCTCCACCCCTGGTCCCTGCAGGGGTTACCCATTGTCCCCCACTCCAGCCCACCTTGGTCAAAACTTCCCTCTCCTGGAAACCCCCCACACACACACAGCCCCCTCCCCTTCCCTGACCTCCCACCTTCCCCCTGAGTCCTCACCCCCTCTCTGAGTTCCCCTCCCTCTTCCCCGAGCCCCCACCCTCTCCCAAGCCCCACTCTGAGCCCACACCTTCGGGTTCCTCCTCAGGGCGCCTCCACAGCCACCAGCTCCCAGCAGGTCCTCTCCGTGGGGCCTCAGCTTCTCCCTGCGGCAGGCCTGGCCCGGCCCCTTCTCAGACCCCAGTGGGACCAGGGACCCACTCCAGACCAGGGAGGGTTAACTCGGACTCAGGGCGGGGCAGGGCGGGGCGGGGCAGGGCATCTCCGATGCCAACACCCCCCAGGGCTTCACTCCTCGCCATGGCCATGGCCGCCAGCCCCGAGACCCACGGTGGGTGCCGCCGAGCGCAGATGCCTCACCTAAGCAAGGTGGGTGCCGGGTGAGGGTCCCACGGTCCCAGGATTTCTGGCATCAGGGCTGGGAGGGGCAGGAGAGGAGTGGGTGCAGGTGAGCACAGTGTAGACTTCAACCTAGGGGTGTTGTGGGGCTGGGTGAGGCCGCAGAGACCCCCCCCCCGCCCCCCGCCAAGGACTGGGGGTTAGGGGAGGGTCCCTTGGCCTTCACCCCGCCCCCACCCATCACCAGCAAGGCCTGAAACCCCGCCATCTGTGAGCGCTAATCTCTGCCCACACTGATCCGGGCAGCAGGTCGGTGGAATCAGGATGTGGGGTGGGGGAGGCTGGCTGGGGCGACCCCGCAAGCATCCCCTTTGCCCAGATGGAGCGGGTGGTCGTGAGCATGCAGGACCCCGACCAGGGCGTGAAGATGCGGAGCCAGCGGCTGCTCATCACGGTCATTCCGCACGCGGTGACTGGTGAGGCTGTGGGTGGGGGTGGGGGCTGCTGGCCCTGCCGCGGCCTCGGCCTCCGCCACACAGTCTCCGCTACTCCGCAGGCAGCGACGTCGTGGAGTGGCTGATTCAGAAGCTCTGCATCTCAGAGGAGGGTGAGGGGTCTGGCACGTTCCATCCTGGCACCTGGCTCACCCTGGTGTCCCGGGCTCATGAGGCTGGGGCTCAGCAGGGTTTGGGCCAAGCCCAGTGTGTGGGGAAGGGGGACTCATCCCCAGATGAGAATTTGCCGCCTGCCTTACCCCCCCCACCCCCCCACCCCCGCCCCAGAGGCCCTGCACCTGGGTGCCCTGCTGGTGAGGCACGGCTACCTGTACGCCCTGCGGGACCCCCGCCCCGCGCTCCAGCTGGACCAGACGCTCTACAGGTTCCAGGTCAGACTCCGCTGGGGGCGGTGGGACCCCCGCAGCCCGACTAGTGGGGACGTCGGGGGCTGGGGTGATGTCCCAGCAGGCCTGGTGGTCTCCTGTCCCCTCCCCACAATGCCTGCACTGGAAGCTTCCTTTTTAAAAAAAATATTTTATTGATTTTGTACAGAGAGGAAGGGAGAGGGATAGCGAGTTAGAAACATCGATGAGAGAGAATCATCGATCAGCTGCCTCTTGCACACCCCCCACTGGGGATGTGCCCACAACCAAGGCACATGCCCTGGACCAGAATCGAATCTGGGACCCTTCATTCCGCAGGCCGACGCTCTACCACTGAGCCAAACCGGTCAGGGCTGGAAGCTTCCTTGTGGTAGAAGGAACAAGTTAAGGGGAGGGGCCTTCCCTTGTTTCTCCGGAGGGTGGTTAGTACCTAGGGAGGATTTTGCCAGCTCCCCGGGGCCTTAGCCCCACTCCAAGAAGGAGCTGTGTGGGGCACCTCAGCGGGTCTGTGTCCTCAGTCACGGTGGAGCTCCCTGCCCGCCCTCCCTGCCCACATAGGGACCCAGGTCAGGCCTGCCTTCGTCTGTCCCTGCCCCCCACGGAGATGGTGACTAAAGCTGGGGCTTGGGAAGGCCCCGCCCGCCCCTCCCTGGCGTGGAGGCCCCTGGAGCTGGGTCAGGGCCCCCAGGAGGTGAATGGAACTCAGTTCCAGGTGGGAGAATGGCGGGTGTCAGCCATGGACAGACAGACAGAGTCTCAGGCTCCCCACCCCCCAGCTCCTGGGGTGAGGGAGGCCCGGGAGGTGCTGACACTCCTTTCCCGCACGGCACCAGACCCCCTATTTCTGGACCAGCACCCTGTGGCCGGCGGCCGAGCTTGACTACGGTGAGTGGGAGCGGGGCCTCGGGTGATGGTGATGCGGGGAGGGGGCAGCGTGCTCCACCGCAGCCTCTCCCTGTCCTTCCAGCCATCTACCTCGCCAAGAAGAACATCCGGCAGCAGGGCGCCCTGGGCGGCCACGAGAAGGTGGGACCCCCACCCGGCTGAGTCCCACTCTGTCCCCGGGCCCCACAGTTTGGCCAGCGCACACAGCCCGGGCCCGGGGCAATGCGGCGCTCAGACACGCCCCACCACCCCCCACCCCCGTGGTCTCAGGGGGGAGGGGGAGGGGGGGAGGGCCCCGCCCGGAGCCCCGCCCGGAAGGAAGGGGCTTAGCACTGGGCACCTGAATGTCCCCCAGGAGCACTATGACCAGCTGCACCGGAGGATCAACCACGCGTGGGACCTGGTGGTGATGCAGGCGAGGGAACAGCTGCGGTGAGACCCACACCCCCCCGCCCCCCCGCCAGCGGGCACAGAGCCCAGATGCCCAGGAGGCCCGAGGCACTCAGCTGGGCACTGGAAACGGGGTCGGGCGGGTTGGCTGCCTGCCCGGGCCCTGGCCGGAGGGTGGGTGCCTGTCTCCCCAGCTCTGCCTGTCCCTCCGCAGGGCCGCTAAGCAGCGCAGGAAGGGGGACAGGCTGGTCATTGCGTGCCAGGAGCAGACGTACTGGCTGGTGAACAGGCCGCCGGTGAGCCTGTGCGGGGAGGGCTGGCCCTCGGACACACAGGTCCCGGAGTCAGTGTGTGCCCCAGTGGCGCCCTGGGCGGAGGAGGGTCTGTGGGAGCAGGAGGCCAGGACGAAGGCTGCCCCTCACACACAGGACACAGAGCCTCTCTGGGCCTGAGGGAGGGGCCTGGGAAGCGGGGGGAGGGGCCTGGCTTCGCTGCAGCTCCCGGGGTGCCGGTCAGGAGTCCGCCTGGCCCGGACCCAGTCCGGCAGGTGGGTGAGGGGAGTGGGAGATGATGGGTCCATGTGGCAGTCACAGCAAAGCGTGAGGGGAGCTCCTGTGGGAAGAACACCAGGAGAGAGGTTCGGGGGCACCCACAGGCCTGGTGACCTCACCAAGTGTTCGGGGGAATCTCTGGGTGAAAGGACGCGATCTTCCATCTGAGGGGTGATTTTAGCTCAGACTGTGTGCATGAGCTGAGGCCGGGCCCAGGATGGCCCAGGCCGGCGGTGTGGGTGAGTGGTGTGTGGGGGGCCGGGCCGGCGGTGTGGGTGAGTGGTTAGTGGAGGGGCCGGCGGTGTGGGTGAGTGGTGTGCGGAGGGCCGGCCGGCGGTGTGGGTGGGGACAAGGTTGGGACCAGTGGGGTTGGGGTGGAGCTGTCTCAGGTGCTGAGTCTCTGGCCCGAGCCTGCAGGTGAGGAAGGTGAGCCTGGCTGAGAAGGGAAGAATGGGGCGGTTAGGGGAGAAAAGTCAGGATTTCGCTGTGGTGGCACAGCCAGGCTGGGTGACAGGGACGTGTAACACAGGGACCATGCGCTGGGGGAGGGGCTGGGAGGAAGCCCGAGTGGCTGAGAGGGTGGTCACTGGGTGGGAACGGGCAGAGGGGAGACTCGGGTTTCTGGTTCCTCTGAGTGTCAGTTTCTACAATATGTCGAAGGGTAACATGTGGGCTCAGAGCTTCAATTAATGGGGGTGAGTAGGTGCAGGAACATAGCTCTAGGGTGGGGTCTTAGCAGCCCACCTGAGCTGTGCTCCCTCCCCTCTGCAGCCTGGGGTCCCCAGTGTGCTGGAGCAGGGTCCAGAGCGAGGCTCCTGCATTGCCCGGCGAGTGCAGATGGTAAGACCCCTGCAGGCATGCACACCCCCCCCGCACCCATTCCCCATGCCTACACACATGCCCCCCACTCCCCAGCCCGCACCCAGGCCTCCTGCCATCCCCACCCCCAATTCCCCCACGCACACCCCCTCCCACTGCCCTCCACCACTCTGGGACCACTTGGGGCCTTCCCCCCATCTGTGTGTTCATCTGTCCCACTTCATGTGCCCTGTCCCACTCCTGGTGCCTCTCTCCCCTCACCCCAGCCCCCCATTCCCAACCCCCCTGCTAACTTTTGTCCTCTCTCACTTCCCACTTGCTGCTCTGGGTGCAAGTAAGTGCGATGGGCCCTGGGGAGGGCGGGGGGCTCTCCCAGGCCAGACCAGCCCCCTCTCCAAGGCCTCTGCTGGCCTTGGGAACCAGCTGCACCGGGACAGGCATGGCCAAACTGTGTAGCAGCAGAGCCCCTGTTCAAACCCTAGGAAACCCCAAACAGAAGATACATTCAGCACCTTAATGAGAAAGCTTCTTCCTCAGCTCAAAGCCATGAGCTCATGATCCTAGGTTTCTAACTTCCCACTTTACGGTCAGTCCAGGAGAGCTGACCCCGAACGTGGAGATCACAGGCCCCTGGGGTGCCTTGTGTCTCTGCTCGCTGACCAGTGAGGGATGCGCAGTGTCCCATGGCCACGCCCCTCCACCTGGCCACGGGGAGGTGGCAGGCCGGTCCCAAATCCTGAACACGGTGAGTCTGGAGCACAGTCAACAGCCCGGGTTCCTAGTGTGACTCACCATAGGTCGTTTTTTAAAAGTAATTTAGGCACATAATTAGTGATAGTGATCATTGGGGCACCTCACGGCAACTTTGAGAACATTCTGGAAACCTCCAACCCATAGCTCCCGGAAAGCTTCCTGCATAGTCAGACCCTGCCATCAGAGGAGGGCGACATCATGGTGGGTGTCGGTCCCCGGGGGCCCGTCTTCTAACTGTAGCTTCCCCTGGCCCTTCCAGACCAAGAATGCGGATTTCTACAAGCAGGAGGTAGGTCCTGGGGCTGGAACGGGGGGGTGGGCTGGCCCCCCGCCCTGGCCCCGCTCACAGTTCCCTGTCGTAGATTGAGTGCTGCACCAAGGCCCTGGGCAGGATCCGGGTGAAGTCCTCTGTCTGCCTGGAGGCGTGAGTGGGATGGGGGCGGCAGCTGGAGCCCCCAGAGCCCAGACCCTTTCTCTGGCCCCCTTTACCCATAATACCCCTCCTCCCTGCATGGCCCCTGGCACCATCCCCACCCCCAGGTATCTGAAGTTCAGCAGTCAGCATGGCCCGCATGACCCCATCATGTCGGGGTGCCTGCCCAGCAACCCCTGGATCACAGATGATGACACCTACTGGGCCATGAACGCCCCCAAGTGAGCTGAGGGTGGGAGAGGGGGTCTGAGGTGTTCTTCCCACCCGTCCCACCCCCCACAGTCCTCCTGCTCCTGACACACTCACCCTCCTCTAGTGTGGCTGTGCCCACGAGGCCCCGTGTGGAGCGATGGGGCTTCAGCTTCCGGGAGCTCCTGGAAGACCCTGTGGGCCGGGCCCACTTCATGGACTTTCTCAGGAAAGAGTTCAGCGGTGAGAAACCCACACCTCCTATTGGAGACCCCGGCGAGGCAGGTTTTTGCCTGGGACTCCCCGCCCTCCGCCCCGGTTTCAATCAGCCCTGGCTGCAGCTCAGGGTGGGCCTGACCCCATGCTTGGACCCCCAGCCGAGAACCTCAGCTTCTGGGAGGCGTGTGAGGAGCTGCGCCATGGAGGGCAGGCCCAGATCCCCGCCCTGGTGGACTCCGTGTACCAGTGAGTGCGAGAGGTGGGCCTGGTGGGCCGGAGGGCAGGCCTGTGGAGCCTGGACCCCCGGGAGCTGTCCCCCATCCCCACGCGCAGGCAGTTCTTGGCCCCTGGCGCTGCCCGCTGGGTCAATATCGACAGCCGGACGATGGAGCGGACCCTGGAGGGCTTGCGCCAGCCCCACCGCTATGTGCTGGATGATGCGCAGCTGCACATCTACATGCTGATGAAGAAGGTGAGCACTTCCCCCCGGGAGGGACTGAACAGCCACGTCCACACTTCCTGCGTGTAGGGAGTCCAGGAAGCTCCTTACAGGACGTGGACCACCTCCTGCCTTCCAGCTGGGCTGCAGGTGCCAGCAGCACAGCCAGGACACACAGGCTGCTCAGTGTCCTCAGACAGCCAGTCAGGGCCGCACCTGCCCACCTGGCCTCATAGGTTAGTTTCCTGTTGCTGCTGTAGAAAATGCCACAAACTTGGTGGCTTAGATGAACACACAGTCATCCTCCGGAGGCCAGAGACTGAGATGGATGTCTCTGAGCTAAAGCCAAGGTGTCTGCGAGGCTGATTCCTTCTGGAGGCTTCAGGGGAGAATCCATTTCACTAACGTTCACCCCCATCCCGGGCTCACGGCCTGTCCTCCATCTTCAAAGACAGCAGCATATCATCTTTTTTTTAATTAAGAAGAAAATATCTAATTGAGAGAGAAACATCCATCCGTTGCTCCGCCCATCCAGGCATTCTTGGTTGCTTCCTGTGTGTGTGCCTGATGGGAGAGCAAACCAGTCCGCTCGCAGCCTCGGCACTTCGGGGCGATGCGCCAGCCGGCTGCACCACCCGGCCAGGGCTTTTCCTTCTTCCTTTCCTTTTCTTTTTTTAATTAAAATTTATTTTTCAATTATAGTTGAGATACATTCTAATATTATATTAGTTTCAGGTATAGCAGCAGTGTATCACCTTTAAATCTCTCTCTCTCCCCTCTCTCCCTCTCTCTGATCCTCCTGCTTCCCTTTCACTTCTAAAGATGCCTGTGCTTACACTGAGCCCACACGGATAATCCAGGCAGTCTCCCATCCCAACACCATCACTTTAATCACACTGCAGTCCCTTTGCCAAATGAGGGGACATACTCACAGGGCCTAGGGATTAGGGTGTCGACACCTCTGGGCAGCTTTAGTCTGTACACCACAGCCTACAGCTATCCATCTAATTTTTTTTCAATTTGCTTGACTTTGGATCCAAACAGGTTCCATACATTGGTGAATGTCTCTTAAATCTCTTTACGTCTTGTAAAATTGTTTTGTTTTGTTTGGAAGGAACTGGGTCCTTTGTTCTGTAGTTTCCCACAGTCTGGGTTTTGCTGAGTCCCTGTATTATCTTTTATGTGTTTCTCTGCCCCAAAATTGGTAGTTGCTAAAAATTGGTAGTTACCATTTAGGTCTTGATCAGAAGTCATTTTCAGTTTTGTTGCCTATTTGTTCAGTGTTGTCAAGAATATTTTCTTCAGTTTGGTGTGTTCTTCCATCAGGAGGTACATGAGATTGGCTGCCTCCACTGACAGTCATTGCCTAGACTCGTGATTTCATCAGCAAAGTTCTGATCCCATCGCCGCCTCTGCTTATGAGCCGAAGTCTCCCTCCCTGCTCTCTGCTGGCCAGTGGTTCTCTTATAGGAAAGACGGATCAATGCTTGATTCCTTCTTTTGTTACTGTTATTAATCCTCACCCAAGGATATTTTTCCATTGATTTTTTTGTAGTGGGAGGGGAGAGAAAGAAACAGATGTGAGAGAGACACACTGATTGGTTGCCTCCCACACATGCCCTGACCAGGGCTGGGGATTGAGCCTGCAACCAAGGTACACACCCAGAACCCTCCAGTCCAAGGGCCAATGCTCTGTCCACTGAGCCAATCCCGCTAGGGCTGATATCTTCTTTTAATTACTACTTATCAAAGTAATGAGTCTGACTCTGATATCCGCCGAGGGAGGTCATGAGTGTCAGTGTTTTTAATACCATCACAAACTCATATTTTTCACTGGATTTAATGGGTTTAAATCCATCTCAGTCTTATTTTCTTTTTATGTTTTTATTGATTTCAGAGAGAGAGAGAGAGAGAGAGAGAGAGAGAGAGAGAGAGAGAGATCAATGATGAAAAAGAATCATTGACTGGCTGCCTCCTACACGCCCCCAACGGGATAGAGTCTGCTACCTGGGCACATGCTCCTGACCGGAATCAAACCTGGGACCCTTCAGTCCACAGTCCGACGCTCGATCCAAGCCAGCCGGGGTCCATGTCAGTTCTTACTTTTACATGGTATTCAGAGGTCTCTGATGTGTCCCGTGGTGTATGGTGACTTCCTTGCTTCCTGGTGTGACACTGTCCAGGTTCATCCTCTCTAGACCTAGCCATTTCCCAGGTTGGTGTTTAGAAACCTTGACCTACACACCAGATGTGTTTGTGCCCCTGGGGTGGCCATCACTTCCCGGCCTTTCAGTGGACAGAATTAGGAAGCGTGTGCTTTAAGAAGAACGTATTTGAACCATACTGACACTGTACTTCAGCTTCAGATTAGACGTTCTCTTCCTCCCTGATCTTCTCTCTCTCTTTTCACTCCCACTGAAAATATTGGTTTCCAACAAGGCTAACATAATTACTCACTCATTTGCTTTCTCACAATCCACTCAGTAGTCTGAATGGAACGACACACAGCACCATTTACCACACATCCGCTGGCAGTGGTTTCCTTTCTCCCTCTTCGGTCCCTTGTGTGTGTCCTCTCGGATGTCCTCTTGACCGGCTGTCATTATGTGTGGTTAGGATGGTGTCACCCCTGGATATCCAGCTCCAATTGTGACCCTTTACTTCCAATGTTTGGGGATTGCTTACTTGTTTTACAATTATGTGAAATATCTACTTTCAAAACCCAATCTGTAAAGCAGGATAAATTCAAATAAATTTAGCTTTTATTGCTGCCCCCTACCTTTTCCCCTCTTTCCCAAGATAAATTTATATTCATCTTTTTAAAATATAACCAAGTAGGCCCTCACTGGTTTGACTCAGTGGATTAGAGTGTCAGCCTGCAGACTGAAGGGTCCCAGGTTCGAATCCCATCAAGGGCATGTACCTTGGTTGCGGGCACATCCCCAGTGGGTGGTTTGCAGGAGGCAGCTGATCCATGTTTCTCTCTCATAGATGTTTCTAACTCTCTCTCTCTCTTTCCCTTCCTCTCTGTAAAAAAATAAAATAAAAAATAAAAATATATATAATGAATTAGATTCGTAGATCTCACACACACTTGTCTACTGTACAGTTCCTCTTGTCCTTGTCAGCTGGCTCTGTGCCCTTGCCCTCACTACGGGGCAGACAGCTGCTCTGCATTCCCTTGCAGGAGGCACCCGGGCTCCCTCCTCCAGATGTGGGTGCTGGGCTCTTGCTCATCTTTGGGGGCTACATGGCCCCCCTGGAAGGGAGCCCAGGTCCCTCTGAGTCAGCTGACTTGGTCAGGGCCGGTCTTGGGTGGCCGCCTCCAGCAGTGTCCACTGGGAGCTCCGAGGTCAGAGCAGTGGCAGGCTGCGGCAGGGCAGCTGAGAGAGGTGGCGGCAGGCGGCAGGGCTGACAGCCGTTTCTTATAGGACTCCTATCCGCGGTTCCTCAAGTCGGACATGTACAGAGGCTTGCTGGCAGAGGCCAGGACACTCCCGGAGACCAAGAGACGGTGAGCCCGGTGGTGCCCTGTGCCCAGGAGCTGTGAGGCGGGACTCTTGAGGCCGCCCTGCACTGAGGCCCCTTCTCGCCCACAGAGTGTTCCCGTTCATGTGGAAGCCACGGCTTTCGAGCCCAAGCCCTGCTCTCCCTCCTGCTTCTGCTTCAGTGGAACCGGCAGCTACTGCCGGTGGCCCTGGGGCTGCTGATGGAGAGGCATAGGTGGGCCTGGGCCTGGAGGAGGAGGCTCCACCCCTCGCCTCTCATCACCCTCCTCTCACCCAGGGCCCTGGCAGCTGCCGAGACCCCCAGCATGGGCATCCCTAGCGCACAGAGGGCGTGGCCTTGCTGTGGGCACACAAGTCAGGCTGCCCAGAAGGGATTGGTCCAGGTGCTGACTGCCAGGGAGGGGGCGTCACTGGCCGAGCTTGGGTCGCCTGGGGAGAGGTGGGACGAGATGGGCAAACCAGACCAAGGCCACGCTCCTGGCATGTCGCCGTCTCCAGCTCCCAGTGCCCAGCCCCACCTCCAGACCGTTACATCAGCAGGCCAGTACCCGGGAGCCAGAGGCAGACAGCAGGCCTCAAAGCTAAGTCACCCGCTCCACTCTGCTCAGTGGGACCCCAGGGGACTCTCCTCAGCCCCCGAATGTCGCTGGGCTGGCTCAGCCTTCCAGTGGGTACAGAGCTGCCGCCACGGGGATTGCCCTGTCACTGCCGCTGTGTCCCAGGCCTGTCCTGAAGGTGCACCTCCGTTTGTGAAGGAACGCCACTCCCCTGGGGGTACAGCGCTGACGGGCTCAGCTGAGGCAGCGCCCCGCCTCCCAAAGCTAGCCTGCTCCTGCCCATTCCTGGCACAGAGACAGAAGACCCTCAGCCCAGGTAGCTAGTTGGTTAGTGTTCTGATACCCCAAGGTTGCAGGTTCAATACCTAGTCAGGGCACATAGAAGAATGAACTAATGAATACACAGTAAGTGGAACAACAAACTGATGTTTCTCTCTCTAAAATCAATAAAGGAAAAAGGCAGGCAGGCCTTCGGCCCTCACTGTGCTCGCCTGCTGTGGTCCAGATCGTGGTGTGTGTGTGTGTGTGCACCTGCTGTGTGTGTGCATGGAGCACGCAGCGGAGGAAGTGCAGGTGTCACGGAAGGCCAGTGTGGGTCCACAGAAGAGGAGACAGCCCCAGGCTGAACGCAGGCTGCACACTGGGGTGCTTGGTCTTTGCTCTGAGGGACAAGGATGCCGGGCTCCGGGGCCCAGTGCAGACACAGTCCAGACTCCTGGGACGGAACCCGTGTCCTGGGCAGGCTGTGTCCTAAGGCTGGGGAGTTCCAGGGAGCGCGGCATGCAACCCATGGCCAGCTGCTTTGCTTACAAGCCCGGGTGCGGGAGGCCCACTGATGAGGGCACCCCCTGGGCTCGGCCCCCTAATCCCTGCTCACTGTCCTGGGACCCAAACTGGGTGGTCCCTCCTGAGCCGACTCCTCTGTCCAGGGCTGTGGACCCCAACCTGGACCCCCAGATGCCTTGGCCTCCGGCCCCCAGCCCTACTGGCTCCAGGTGATTTTCACTTGCAGACCTGTCACTTTTCACAGGAACAGTTTTTTTGGGGGTGGAAGATTTTAGGGTTATAGGAAGTTTTTTGTATTTAAATGTCCACAGGAAATTCCATCAGGATTCTCTAAACATCTCCCTCATCAGTTTGGTACCCAAAGCTACATCTCACTGAAGCCTCCCCCCGAGCCCCTCCTGGGAAGCTGCCAGGCCCGCCTCCACCCCCTCCCTGGCCAGCCCTTGGAAGATGGGGGTGCCAGGGGCCCGGGTGGGGGGCTCCTGGCTTGCTGGGGGGCCTAGGGAGGGCCCTCAAACCAGAGGTGCACATGGAGGTTGAGCTGAACAAGACCTCGGGGCCCCCCAGTCTCTGACCTGGCAGGAGTGGGGGGCATTCCAAGAACACAGGTCCCCCACCCCTCAGCCACTTTCCCGTCCTGACCCATCTCACCCCCACAGCACAGACAGGAGGCGCACTGGTGCCCGCTGGGCTTTCTCAGGAGTGCCAACGTTTATTCCGGCTCCTCGCGCGCTACCAGGGTCGGCAGGCCGCGTGGTGCCTGGGCCGCGGAGCTGCGCGGTGCGGGGCAGCCCTGGGCGCAGCAAGGCACAGAGTGAGTCCTGCGTCAGGGGCCCCGAGGCCGCGGGCGACCCAGCACCAGGAAGGAGGGGAGCCACGCCTAAGGGTGCAGGGACTCCAGAGGGACAAGGGCTCCATCCAGTGTGTATCCATCAAGAGGGCGCGACATGACCCCAGTGTGCGTTAAGGCAGGTTTGGGAAGGTCACAGCACGGGCAGCGGCACAGGCTGTGAACTCCCCTCAGCAGTGCCCCCGCCCTGCCCTGCAAGCCCACTCTTCCAGAGCCGGTCAACGGGGCTCTGCTCCTAGGGCAAGACACCACCAACCGTGCTAGATCTCCCCTCCCTGCTCGGGGAAGGGCCGGGGGCTGCCCTGCTGCCCTGAGACCGCCTCGGGGACTACCCCCCTCTGAGCTCCGGGCCCCTGGGGGGACAGTGCAGAGGAGGAGGAGCTCAGGTGGGAGGCGGGGAGGGGCTTCTGCAGGTCGGATTTGGGCTCTTCCCGGAGGGAGGCCTTCGGCACGCGACCCCAGAGGGCGGAGGAGGGCCTGTGTGAGGACACGGCGTGCTGGCAGGACGGAGGCCTGGGTGTCCCTCTCCCACCGTGTCCCTGGGACTACGGAGACCCTGTGGAGTGCTGCCAGGCTCAGGAGTGGGAGGCAGGGTACAGAGCAAATGAACGAAGGGCCAACTTCCCAGGACATTTAATGGCAGCAGCCGAGCCCCTGGTGCTCGGACCGCCCGCAGCTAGGCCTCGCTCAGGTACCGCAGGCGGGAGAGCCGGTCCCTGATGTCCTGGTCGCTGTCGGCCTCGCCTTCGGCCAGGCGAACCACCCTGCTGCTCAGGATGAGGTCCTGCACCTTGAGCTTGGCCACGGAGACCGGGCCGGGCGCGGCCGGCCTGGCCGGGCCCGTGAGGAGGATGCAGGCGGCGTGGCGGCCTGGCTCCAGCAGGGCCGCTGTGGAGGACAGGGCGTCAGAGTCTGGGGACCAGCCAGTGTGAGCGGGTGGTGTCAGGTCCGCACTGAGGCTGCACTCACCTTGGAAGGTGACGATGTTGGCAGAGACGTTGGCCAGCTCCAGCAGGACGCCGGGCAGTGTGGGGTGAAACAGGTAGAGGCTGTGCTGGGGGTCTCCCGGCTCCTGGAATGAGAACCAGCGATGGGGCAGGAGGCGATCGGGCTGCAGCCACCTCTGCACCTGGGCCTGGCAGCTGGGCAGTGCCGTGCTCATCGCTGATGGGACACTCGACCCACTGACCACAGCCAGAGCTGTGTCCCTTCGGGTCCCCCAAACGCCAACCTGAACTCTGCACCTACCTGCTCTACCCCTTCGCCAACCTGACCCTGATCCTCCTCAGCACCCTCCACCCGGAACACGGCCCCTTCCCAGCACACTCTGCTTCTTTCCAGCTTCCCCATGTCCGCCCCCAAGGCAGAGCACGCCCGGGCCGCCCTGGGCCAGAGCACTGCCTCACCCCACCCCTCTCCCCGGCTTCTATTTATTTGTACACCTCCAGTCACCAATTAGCTCCTTAAGAGGGGGCCTAAGACTGGCTCTGGTCTCTGGCCCTGGCTTCTGGCACGGGCGTGTCCCCCGATGATGAACTCTGCCCGTACCATCTGGTTGGCACCGGCCGGCTCGTGCAGGCCCCAGAAGAAGAAGGCTGAGCGGTGGTCTGCGGTCAGCAGGCTGGCAGACGGAGGGAACCCTGGGAGGCCTGGAAGGGCCAGAGTCCAAAGGACCGCCCCGGTGTTGAGGTCCAGGAGCCGGATCTGGGAGGAAGGGGACAGCATGGGGCAGATGGGGTGGGGTTCGCACAGGCACGTGGGCCAGCCCTGAGCCAGCTGCTCCCTGGGCTCCACGAGACCGTCTCCTTGAGGCCCCTCTATCCCAGCCCAGCCTCCAGGCCACAGCCCCGTCCAGACACGTCCAGACTCGTTTTCCTCAGCGACAAACCGGGGCGGGACACAAAAGGAAGTGCAGCCAACCTGCCTGTCAGTGCCGGTTCCGTTTTCAATGACCACGGCTAAGGTGTCGGGTTTGTAGTGACCGAGGATGGGTTTCCTGGGGAAGAAGTCACGAGGGGTGTCTGTGAGGAGACGCCTGGGGGCGGGCATGCCGCCTCCTCTCCCCGGCGAGGCAGGCCCAGGGCCGGACGCAGAGGGGCTTCACCAGCGCCCCACGCAGGGAAGCGCCGGGGACAGCGGGCCGCCTCTGACAGAGGCACACCGCCCCCTCGCCCCCCTCCACGGGGCTGCCAGGGCCCGGCTTGCAACAAGTGCGCAGGCCGCTGGGGGAGAGCGGTACCTGAGGACCTGGGGCGCGCTGAAGGTCCACCGGGGCGCCAGCTCCTGGCCGCCCAGCAGCACGCAGGTGTCTGCACTCACGAGGAGGAGGTCCTCACCGCCCTTCCCGGGAACGTCCATCAGGTAGCGGATGGCTCCGGAGCTGGCGGGGGGGGGCAGCTGGGGCTGAGGCTGGAGGCGGGGACCCTCGCCAGAGCACTGTCCACCAGACTCCCACATGCAGCGCCCTAATCCTTAGGTCTCCGATTTGAGAAATAGAACCAGGCCTCACTGTGCTCGGAGAGAGGGGGAGCCCACTGCCGGGCACCTTTTCCCGGGTTTGCACGGAGCTTGTCTGTCCCAACTCCCGTGCCTGAGCCCAGCGTGGCCCCGCAGTACAGCAGCCAGGCCCGCAGCCCCTCCCGGGACCTGCCCTGTGTGCCGCCGCCCACACCGACCTGTGCGCCAGCAGCCTGCGGTTGGTGGCATTGAGCACGTCCTCCCAGCCGGGGTCTCTGCTCAGCGGGCTGTCTCTCCCGGTCACTCTTTCGTACAGGCCCTTCACAGAGTGCCCACAGAGGGAACTTGCTACTCAAAACATGGGAGAGCCTCAAGTCACCAGGGGCTGCTGGGGGACAGGACTCGCGCCCCGCAGCCCCGCTGGTGGGAACCCGCGGGGCCCCAGCCGGGGAGGGGTGAGACCCCCCGAGGCTTTCACAGCGAGTCAGCGATCACTTCGAATCCTAGAAGAGAGCAGGAGCCGAGGAGCCTCCCGGCAGCTCAGATCTCAGCTGAGACCCGGCCAGGCCTCGCCTGTGAGGCCGTTCGGGGGCCCAGCGGGCACAACGTACCGCAGGGGAGCAGGACGTAGTGGGCGCCCGCCCTGGTGGCATAAAGGAGGGAGCCACTGGTCCCACCCACACCGAGGCTCTCTTGGTGGCCAATCTGGTGCCCAGTGCTGCCCGAGTAGATGTAGCTGTTAACCTGCAACACATGGGAAGAGAAAGGGGTCAAAACCCCCCTGGTTTGGGGAGAGGTTGCTTTTAAGTGTCTGATACCAGGTGTGTGTGCGTGATCTCCCACACCGGAGTCCTTCAGGCTCCTCAGGCCCCACCCACACCTCAGTGGCACAAACGGGAAGGGCACTCCTGTTCTTGGGGAGGCCCAAGAGCTACGGACAGGCACAGAGCTGCCCCAGTGGGCTGGGTCTGCAGGTGCCAGGGCACAGGGCCTTGGGCAAGTCCCCTGACGGGTGATCAGACCCAAAATCTGCCGGGAAGTGGCAGACCGGGGAGCAGGAAAGAGGCTCCGGAGGCATGGGCTGCAGGGGCTGGGGGGAGAGCTGTACCTCCTCGTCCTCTTGGGTGAGAACCAGCAGATCTGGGGCCCCGTCGGCATCGAGGTCAGGCACCTGGAGTAAAGGGCTTAGGATGGTCGCGTTC